AAGTGATACGAACGACAAACAGTCAAAAGGCTAATAATCCATTGCATGCAAGTTGCATACCGAAAACTGTGAGCAACTCTTGTTCTAGTGCCACTAACGACGAAGCTTTTAACGAAAACACATCGATTCATCATCCCTTTATGTCAACTACGCCTGCCTACAAGAGATAACCGTACAAAGAATATAGAAAAACGGAATATAAGCAAAACAGATATTCAAAATCTATGCTGAATCTGTTTTCGTTTCCGCAATCGTCAACTTGACATCTTCACTTCACTAAGAGTAATGATGTCCGATATGCAGGAAGTAATTCCTTAGAATTCCGAATTAAAACTCGTTTTGCTCATGTACGGTATAAAACCCTATATCTTACACATCGTTTCAAGCAAATACCAGGATTGTAAGTCGATTACAAAATGCAGTCACTGAATTACTTTTATCCATTGTTTACCTCCACAACCGGCCAACAAAAAGTTCTAAAATTTTATGAAGTTCGGCAGAGTCTCGTTTAGTCACGAGCTCACACTCACACAAGAACGAAAATGAGAATATCCCAAAACGGTTACGACTAAGCCAAAAGAATTATTTAAAGCGAGTATAAATCCATAATATGCAGATTTGCGCAGCCTCAGTTCTACAAACTCGCGAAAAAGGATAAGAAATTTGAAGGATTTGCGACATTAAACAAGCAATCAACAAACCATATATAAGCACATATCAATTAAACTTAATCTAACGCAAACATTATAGAATGGTGAAACAAACAATAACTGATTTTATCAGAGCTCGAGACATTATACCGCGCAAGAAAATGCAAATTATTGAGAAGGTAAAAGGCATTGATCATTCAAATGATTACGGTAAAACGAACATTATTGAATGACAGGTTATAATTAAATTATTCCTAACAGAAAGTTCAAACTACGGGATACCGTAGAAAAGTGTTGTAAAATGAAAACAAGAATGCAAAAATAAAGGCAAAATTTGAAACCAATTTTGGACTAGAAGAATTCTTTTACTATACTTGGTTTACAAATTACCAGATAACTAAGGGAAGTGTTACTTAGGAGAAACAGGGAACACCATCCCTTAAAGAACAAAAATTAATTTTTCAGGAGAAGCAAAATGATCGATGAGATGAGAGCAGATGTAAACCAACCGTAATAACGAAATAAAAAAAAGTAAAACAAGCAAGCTTAGCCAACAGTCAAATCATACAACAATCCGATATTGTATATCATGGGCCACACGGAGGTCATCTTTTGCTCCGATGATCAGAGTGCACCGAAATCAAAATAGACACTGGGTGAATAAACGTTTCAAGAAGGCATTAACTATACAGTTATGTAAAAAAATCGATCGCGGAACTGCGCTGGATTGAACGATCTTATTCCCTCCTCACACGACATACCTGTCGCAGGTACAAAAAGTTTACTTTCATGCGCAAGAGGCTATTACAACAGCGATCTACCAAATTCAACTCTTATCCACCTCTGTTTCTTTACGAAAGACGGAGAAGACGCACCGAAACTGTGGGATCACATGGAAGCACCTGACTGATTAAACTGTTTGCAATAGTGCGTGATCAAAACTGATTTTGTGATTATTTTAATACGAATATCGAAGCAGAAACGAAATGCTCTGTTTTGAAGATTTAAAATAATAAGCATCAGTACTTAAATATTTGGATTCTCATCGTAACTAAGAAAGCATTTCCTTCGTTTGATACTCCGAAATCATTGGAAAAAATGAACAGGAGGAACCGACATTAGAATTAGTTTTTATTTAATAAGGGCAGAATTTTCATCTTTCTCTCCATTTTTCGAAAGAAATTGCACAAAAGGGCAACATATAAATGGGTACGTTCCATAGACTTTGCAATCGTCTAGGAAACGAATGGTTCTCATACCTCAAACATAACTGCTCACATTCTCTCACCCTTCTGACGTGCTCTGATGAACGTTGAAAGTGTTGAAAGCAAAGGAAATAGTAAAACTATATTAGCATCGGAATCACGAGTAAAGAAAATTGGAACAAAAGATGACATGACTAACGGAAAGGCCTGTGCAAGTTTCCAATGATTAGTTTCTAACCGTGTTGAATTCTGACGTGAGTATGAACACACAACACACATGAGTTTACTTTGATTGACCTGCTCACCTGTTGCTGCATGCCATGCATAATGACGGAGAGTGAGAAAAGTAAAATTTAATGCACAAATGGTTAAAACCCATTTTATTACACAATTTACTGTGATTAAACGTTGCGAAAAAGTTCTTAGTGCATCTATCTTGGACAGTTTTGAATCCGAACAACTATATCAAAGGGCTAATATTTATCTTATGCAATTGCTTCTATACGTGATATAAATGTTGCTAGTAAAAAACACTGACCAGCTATTCCATGCCCTCAGACAAGAAGAACTCCAATTCGACGATATAGAGTGACTAGGATCAAGGGAGTCACAAGCTTTGATGTTTTTATCAGATCCTGAATATGCTCTTCTGATTCTCCGACAGATGAATATGATCAAAAATTTTGCTGATATTGTTTGGCTCTGTCATTAAAGCAAACTAGATTGTTAAGCTATTTCAGCAACTGAAATCTAGGCAACTGTTATATATATTTCCGTGTTCTGTCCTCAGTACTATGGTTGGGCGAAACCATAGATGAACCTTATGATCTAAATATTTTGTATGATATAAGCTCAGGTGTTTAATGCATGCGGTGAGCGTGCTAGAATTTGGTAGAATTGTTTGTGTAGTAGCTGTCAGTTTTCCTTGCTTCGTATAAGAGTAGAACATCAGATCACGTGCAAAGGGGATTTCGATGAATCAGCCTGCCTCCGTTCCATCACCCGACCTTTATGAGTCCAACGAATGGGATGTATCCCTCGATGTGAGTAATCTACTTCGTAGAGCGTTTAGAGTATAAATGATTTGTCGTTTTTCAGTAACATTATTTGTGGAGTTGTTTTGTTTTCCTTTTGTTGTCATTGATATATGAAGGAGTAGAGTGTTTCGTTCTGCGTTCATAGTAATGTCAGAAACAAAACAAAAACTTAATAAGGCTTGATGTTAGCAATTGTTTGTCCGTAGTTATTTAGACAGGTGGTTGAAAGATTCATGGTTCTGGGCACCAAGTATAGCGTATGGTGAAATCTTTATTACCAGC